AGTTCTAAGTGCAAACCTAAAGTAAGGGTAAGAGGGTCCTTGAGTGACTCGCCTACTCAGTGTCATCACGGTAGCACGGAAGCTTCGCGCAACGAACCAGGGGACGTCTTTTAGTGGTTACTCCAGTGGTCGAAGGAATCGAGAGGAGATAAGGAAAATGCCCCCCAGCAGTTCGTCTTTTACGGCGCTGAATCTGCCCTCGACATTTTCGCTACCGCCATGCATGGAATACTTCACCCTCACCGCCGGCCCTAATACGGACCTTTGGCGTAAGCCACCGAACCGGGATACTGCAACGGCTCCTATCGTGTTTACATCCTTGCGGAGCCCATTTGTAGTTGCCGAGGTCACTGTCACGGCCGACTGGGAAATGGAATGGGACCAGGGTGGTCTGGTGATCTTTGCCGGAGCTGCGCCGCAATCATTCTCGCCAGACAGTACTCCACGATCGGGCCGCCCCGGGTACCCTCAACCGTTACGACCCTGTAAATGGGTCAAGGCCGGGATGGAGTTCAGTTCGGGCACGATGAACGCATCGTCGGTAAGCGCAACTTCCGACGGCGCGGACTGGTGTCTCTCACCACTGTCGATCCCCGATCGCGGTCCATCGGCTATGCATTCGTTACGAATCAAATTAGAGCGAGTCGGACATTCGCTCTGGATATGGTACCAGGATCCATCAGCGGTGCCGTATGCAGCGAGCCCGGCGGCCGTGAGCAGCACGTGGAAGAAGCTGCGGGAAGTAACATGGTTCTTCTACGGAGTAGAAGACAAGTTCGTCCACGTGGGCGTCTATGCCAGTCGCCCGCATAGTCTGCCTCGCACTGGGACGATGTGGGCGATGGCCAATGGTCCGGGGGTGGCCGGATCGGCGGCCGCATCAGCGAACGAAGGGTTGGTGGTCGAATTCGAGGATCTGGAGATCTTGTAATTTTTCTGTCTTATCTCGTCTTAGCAGCATTGCTTTGGTTCCAGCTACGACCATTGAGCGCTTATGAGTCGATGAGCTTTCTTTCTCTTTTGACTTTAGGGCTGGTTGGGTTCAGGAGCCTGGTGCATTGCGGGAGATAGCGAGCATGGGTTTATGTTATGGTTGGAGCGATTGCTGAGACATGAGCATTTGTTGAGTTTGGCTGTTCAACACTTACCGATTTAACCGATTTAATGAAGAGTTAATATGATCCTTTCTTTCATGCTTAGGTATACCCACAAGGCATATTAAGTCGATATACTTCATACAACGGTTTTTATTTCACTTATTACCACTCAAGAACCAAGAAACTGCCTCTATCCGAGAAAAGATTTAGACCCACCCTTTCTACGGAACCTCTAGCATTGTATTCCTCCTACACCAAGTACTTTGTAGTATTTCCCAGAGAAAGCAACACATTCTAGTCATGTGACTCAACTAAACTATGCTCGCCTAAACTTATGTATTCTCTCCTCTTCTCCTACCAGTACTGTCTGTTATACTTCCTGGATACGAATATCATCACAGCAATTTATTGCGGGGGAGCGTCAGGAATCAATTTCGCAAGGAGAATTACCATACTACTCTATGATATTCCCCACATGCTACGGAAGAAGACAATGAAACCTCAAGATTCCTGTTAAGTGCTGGGGTGAGGTTGACACAGTATGCGGGGTTACTCCGAGCCCTTCGGGGTTTCGTGGGAATGATGCGCGAGAGGCGACTACTTGCGGTTCGTTGGCATTCATGCATCACACATAAATATTTCTATGCTTTCTTGTCACTTTCTGTTTCACTTTCCCCCTTTTATCTTCCCCGGCCATGACCAGCCAGATCTATATTGAAACTCCTACAGTTGAGCAACACTCAACCGGGTTTGGCATTGGAACTGCGACTCCGCGTCTGTCATGGCGATTCCTCACCACCGACAGTAGTCCTCGCGACTGGGAGCAGACGGCCTACGAAGTGGAAGTTGTTCGTTCCGGATCTCGAGAGGAAACCTACCATGTGAACAGCAATGCATCGGTGCTTGTCCCTTGGCCCAGTGGCCCACTGCAATCCCGAGAAATCGCACAGGTCCGTGTTCGGGCATACGCGTGCAGCGCCGGCGAGGAGCAGCAGGGTGACTGTGCCACCGCTTGGTCTCCCTGGCGGACCATTGAGTGTGGACTACTCGACCGCGCTGACTGGGTAGCCCGACCTATTGCCAGTCCTGAGGAACCACAGCCGGATCATCCATTACGGCCGGTGCGATTCCGTAAAGAGTTCCAACTCCCTGCGGCAGGTACCATCGAGAAAGCTCGCCTTTATATCACGAGCTTTGGAGTATACCGCGCCTTCATCAACGGGCATCGAGTGGGGGATCAGTGTCTCGCGCCCGGATGGACCAGCTACCGCCATCGCTTGAACTATCAAGTGTTCAACATCGCGTCCCTCCTGAATGCTGAAGGTCCTAATGTCCTTGCGGTAGAGGTTGCAGAGGGCTGGTACGCCACTCGCCTCGGCTTCCTTGGTGGGCGAAGACAGTTGTATGGGGATCGACTGGCCGTGTTGGCACAACTGGAGATCCAACTTGGACCTAAGGGGGACCAATTCTCCATGTGTACTGATACCACCTGGACATGTACTCCCAGTGCCATCATCCGGAGTGAGCTCTATGACGGCGAGGTTTACGATACCCGTCAAGAGAATCCGACCTGGAACTGCTCGCTGCTTGACCAGGCCTCTCGCTGGGTGGCCGTCCGGGAACTTGACTTCCCAACCGCGGCCTTGGTGGCACCGAACGCTCCTCCAGTCCGTATCACCGAGGAGATATCCCCAGTCTCCGTCCAGAAAACCCCATCCGGTGCCACCGTCATCGACTTCGGCCAGAACCTGGTCGGTCGACTTCGCGTGCGCTCGTTGAACCAGCCCTCGGGCTCTCGCGTTTCCTTCATCCACGCCGAAGTGCTTGAGAATGGCGAGCTCGGGATTCGACCCCTGCGACACGCCAAGTGCACCGACGAAGTCATTCTAAATGGTACAGAGCTGGTAGATTGGTCGCCTCAGTATACATTCCACGGGTTTCGATTCGTCCAGGTCAATGGTTGGGATGAAGAAAGCGATGGATCACTGCTCCTCAACTTCAAGGCGCTTGTGATGCACACTGATATGACCCGCAGCGGATGGTTTTCCTGCTCGCACCCTATGGTCAATCAGCTCCACACCAATGCCTGGTGGAGTATGCGTGGGAATTTCCTGTCCATTCCTACGGACTGTCCCCAGAGGGATGAACGCCTTGGCTGGACCGGGGATATTCAGATTTTCTGCCCATCGGCCAACTTCCTCTACAATACTGCTGGCATGCTGAGTGACTGGTTGCAAGATGTCGCGGCCGAGCAGTTGAGGGAGAAAGATGGCTGCGTGCCTCCCTTCACAGTCCCCAATATCATTAGTGAGACCCTGTGGCCGCATACGCCGCAGGCTGTATGGGACGATGTGGTGATCCTAACGCCCTGGGCCCTCTACCGGTCGTATGGGGACAGTGAAATTCTCCGCCGTCAATATGAAAGCATGCTCGCCTGGATCGATCGCGGCATTCGTCGCGGCTCAGATGGACTCTGGGACCCTGAGCTTTGGCAGCTGGGAGACTGGTTAGACCCAACAGCGCCGCCCGAGGAACCCGGGGATGCACGCACCAGCGGGACCCTTGTCGCTGATGCCTATCTCGTGCACATCACCTCGGTGATGTCCGAAATCAGCCAGGTCCTCGGCCAGAGTCAGGATGCCGCACGATTCAAGACGGACTATGACCGACTGAAGGCGAGGTTCCAGGCCAAGTACATAACGGCCACTGGGTTACTGGTCGGCGATACCCAGACAGCGCTTAGCCTTGCCATTGTGTACGACCTTCACTCCAACCCCGAAGCAGCGCAAGCTGCAGCATCACGTCTCGTCCATCTCGTGCGGCTTGCCAAGTTTCGCGTCGCCACCGGGTTCGCAGGCACTCCAATCATCACGCACGCTCTCACCAAGAGCGGACATCCCCAGATCGCCTACCGGATGCTTCTGGAGAAGTCTCGCCCATCGTGGATGTACCCCATCACCATGGGAGCGACAACCATGTGGGAGAGGTGGGACAGCATGCTTCCGGACGGGTCCATCAACCCTGGCGAAATGACCAGCTTCAACCACTACGCCCTGGGTTCGATCATCAACTGGCTGCACTCTACCGTAGCCGGCGTCAGCCCTCTAGCCCCAGGCTGGAAGCACATCCAGATCGCTCCGACACCTGGGCCTACAATTCACTCCGCTGAAGCCATGTACGATACTCCTTATGGGCGACTAGAATGCCGGTGGTCGATCGAGACTGATGCAGACCGCTTCCACATGGACCTGTTGATACCGCCAAACTCTCGTGCGCGCGTGATCTTACCGACTCGGGAGAAGCTATCACAGCCCGTTGGTTCTCGTGAAGACGGAGGCTTTTGGGTGGGTTCGGGGCGTCACAAGTTCTCAGCGACCTTCGAGTGGAAGGACTACTCTAGGGACTGGCCACCGAAGCCTCTGATTCCGATTATGCGCAAACCTGAGCCGGAGGATATTGCGTGAGATTTCCCTATTATCTAGAGACTGGATGACAGATAGTAGATATGACATACCTGCAAGTCTATCAGTCGCGTAAGCGGTGAGTGCTGTAGAAGCGCTCACCTGCCGTCCTGTCCTCACAAAAGCGGCAGCAATTTTGCCAGATTATTACTGGAATTGTTGACAGAGTTAGTTCACGTGAAAGTCCCATGGGAGGAGATATTTTAGTGTTTCAATCACATCTTGATAGAAATTGTCAGTTCATATGCTACCTCATGACAAGCAGAATCCTGGATATAAAATGGCCAGTGTATCAAAGATCGCCCAAGTACCAGCGACCTTTGTTGCGAACGAACCAACTCGATATAGATTTGCAATTGAGGAAGCAAACCCTCAAAGTGAATGCTCTATATTGTGCTTCCAAGTACATCTTGGCTGATCTGCCCCCCTCCCTCTGACCATTTCACACAGGTGGCAGATGATTCTTGTCTAGTACATTTTTCGCACGTGTTCTGTTATCCCGAATCTCCTCTTTGAATTCTTTTCTGAGCTTTTCGAAATCCGTAAGCTTGCCTTTTTCCTCAGCTTCAGTCTTCTCCTTGTCTTTCTCCTTTTTTTCATTTTCCACGCGCTCTACTTCCTTTTCATATATTTTATCAATTCGCTCCTTTTCTTTTTCTCGCTCCTCTTCCGGAAGGGTTGTGGGGATATCTTCCAGTTTCTGATTCCATTCCTGTCTTATGACGTCTCTTTCAATCAGCAGGTCTTCGATTTGGGATTCCAAGTCTTTCGCCTCCAACCGGGCCTTTGCCTTGTCGACTTCCACGAGGACGCGTCTTCCCACAATTTCGGGGTCGATATCGTCTCCGAATTTGGCTTCCACTCCCGCCTCGAGCTTTTCCCGATAGTCATTTCCCGCTATTCTTCGGTATCCCTTGTATTTATCGAATGCCTTTTGGCTAACTTGCGCCCTGGCCTCGTCATTATACGCCTTTTCGATGCGGTTTTGGATGATTTTAGCGTTGGTCTTTGAATCCTGTTTCAGGTCATCCGGCGTGAGACGCTTCACCTCACTTTCAATTCTCTCCACTATCGTATCCCACGAAAGCAGACCCTCGGAATCTCCTTCCTTCTTGTTGCCAATCTGACGGATGAAATATTTCATTTCATACGCCTGCTTGAAAGCGAACCGTTTATAAAGACACGCGACTATCACCCCGGCAATTGAGACTCCCATGCCACTAATGCCTGCTCCAATGGCTGCAGGCCAGTTTCCCTTTGACACATAAGCCCCGGCTCCCGCACACAAGATAGTACCAGTCAGGACGATAAAGGAATTCATCACAGGCCCAAACGGAGAGCCGGCGGCGCCTCCTTGCAGGTCATAGCAGCCGTTCAGCAGATCCATACATACCACGATAGACTCGAAGGAAGCATCCACACGAACGGCCGCCGCTGCTTCCATCTTTTCCCTGGAGACCCCGGGTCCACCGGCTGGTACAACATCCCTGCTAAAGTCGGTGGTGGTGTCGTTGGAATCGCCCCAGCTGTAGTACTTCCTCCCGCTGATACTGGTCTTCTGTGCCTCCTGGCTTCCCGGCCAGATCTCTCCCTCGAAGCCAGGCTGAGACTGCTCGACACCAGCGGGCTGTCCACACTGGAATTGGATGATGAACAGCATGTCATTGGCTACGAAGCTGACGACTCCTTCCTTCACTGAAACAGGGTCCATGAGCACGCCGTCCACTAAGTGCATAATAATAAAGGAGCATTAGCCATGGGTCTTTGTTCTTACCATCTAGGAAAGAGTTCGCGGTGATTTAATAAAGGAAGAAGACGACAAGGGCAAAGGTCATAAGGGGGGGAATGGGGGGAGGAGGATTATGCAGACATACCGTGTATGGTAGACTTGGCCGAATTCACAAACAGCTCGAAAAGGCCAAATTCATTATCGGCGAAACGGTATACCCCGCCTGCAAGCCTCAAGTCGAAGTGTGGTCCCGCGGTTCCCATCATCACGAAGGCTTCCCAGATTGTAGGTTGAGTCACGTCGTAGCCGCGACCAGCACAATATTCGGTGGGATTTCCGGCCTCCATGGCAGCGAGGAGGCCTATAAGAAACTCTTCCTTGGGCGACGTGTACGCATCATCGAGCATTCTCGCTGCCATTTCTGCAAAGATATGATGAGCTTCCTAGAGCACTTCTAGTTTCTAAAGGGCAAAGGGTAGTTGTGGAACCATACCCATCTGTTCTGGCGTGACATCTCTTGGAGAAGCCATATTTGATGAGGGGTAGTTTTGAAAGGGCGTGATGACCAAGGTGATTATATAACAAGGCAGGATCTTAGTAGGACTAAAGAGCCGATTGAAGATGTGGTTGTGAGGGTTCGAGATCTTGGTGGCTCAGTAATGATAGAGACCCACGATCAACTCTGCTTCATGACTTGAGCTTGGGGGTTGCGGGGAGGCAGTTATATGTTCGTCTATGACAACCAAGATCGATTGGTAAGCTACGTAAGCCCATGGGCGTACAGGTCATCACGTCGGACATTGCATTTCAGCTGAGGGATTTAATGTTCATCTCAAGAGCAGCAGTGGCGCCGCTGCCTCACCACCTACTGCTGCAGGAGGGAGGTGAGCCATCCACACCTTCAGCGCCGCCATGTTCCATTGTGACTTATGTGCATAAATCACATAAATGGTACTTTGGCATGCATGCGTCCATAATAAAGTGTGCTTTGTGCATGCATAATACTACACCCCCCTCATTGAGCCTCGGGGATGTCCTGGATCATTCCGGGCTGGAAGAGGATGGTCACCAGACAAGACCGGTTACACACCTTATGCAAATGGACGATCGCGGTCCATCGATGGAGAAGAAGAGAATGGTTAAGATCTTCGGTTTGCGGTAAGCAACGGGCTATCAAATTTACGCGGTCACAGACTAGATTAATGAGTGGACTGTTGAGAGTCGCTGTACTGCGTGACTATCTAGGCGGAATGACCCTTCACAAGCAGGTGGGAGGCCCGATACTGAAAGTCAAATTCCAAATATGCCTTCTCTACCTTTGTGCAGTCCAGATTGGGGTTGTCTACCCGCAAGACATCGACACTCCATTTCGTGAACGGCCCTACTCTGGCATAGATGTCATCATTCTCTGATGAGATCGTGCCGTCTGTTAAAATCGTGCCGGAGTCGCCATCCTTTTCGGGCATAATGTACTTGAAGAGCACCTTGAGTGGGTTGTGCGTAAACTTCACAGGGACTTCGAAACTGTCCAGCAAGGTTTCTGTCCCCGTGTGAGATATTTTGGCTTGTAGGATGAGTGGCTGTGAGAATGTTGCTTTCGTTTCTGCCGGAGAGTCGTCCTTTTTCAGCTCCAGGTAAAATCGCACGGCTGAGAGGCGCACATCATACATGTCATGGAAGATCGGATTATCCGTCTTCACCTCGACGTTCCTCAGGGACAGATCCTCGGTGGGAAGTGTGAACTGAATGAATTCAATCGTGTCTTCGTCAAGGTAGACTCTAACGTTGCGCATCTCCTGTGGTGGTTGTCCTACCGCCTCTAGATATTCCTGACGCCGAATTTGGAGTGTTCCTTGTATCTGCTGTAGTAGGCCATGGTCCAGGGCGGAGGATGGCAAACCACTCAATGTATCTCCGATGATGTTGTCCTGGCTTAAAGACAGAAATGCGAGAGCCTGTTGCTGCTTGTACAACCATACCTGGGCTGTGTATATGCTGTGGTCGTAGGTTTTCTTCAGGAAGCTTGTCATGGCGGGATGCCCGGCATCGAGAGAGTTGTATTCGTCACGAATAACGTCCAACCGGTCCAGTCGGAGCTGCTCCCGCTTTTCGTAGAATTGGACGAGAAGAGTCAGGATTGCATTGTAGTGCAGGACCGCCGAGTTCCGCTCTTGAACGGTGTCTGCGACAGAAAGTCAGAATCCATGTAGTCGGTGGAAGCACCTTCACAAACCGTAGAATGTCTGGAAATTCTTCTTCACCTCCTTGTAATCCTCGGCATCCATCGCGTTCCGAAATTCGCTGACGAGAGAGTCCCACATCTGCTCCGCGACAAGGATCTTCTCAGCCCCCGGGTCGTCTAGATCGATGTGGCCGTCACGGAGGACGATGTACCCTTCCGTGAGGTCTTTGATACCGCCTTCGATGTCGTGTAGCTTTTGGAGGAGGTAGGACTTGTTTATGGCCACACCATCATCAGTTAGCACCTTCTCAGTGCCCATGTCGAACAGGCCGAGTGTCTGGAGCCCTATCATCGGTTTGCTGCCGTTGGTGAACAACACGCAGGTAAACGCGGAAACAAAATCCTGAAAAGTGACCCCGAATTGTTTCTGCACAAAGTCATCCAGATGAAGCATTGAATCCAGCAGCTCCTTCTTTGCTCTGGCAATCGAGTCGACAGCATATCCGATTGTCCGGGTAGTTTGACCTAGGTCCAGTTTGCCCTCGTCTATTAGCTGATCATTCTGGTTTGTAGTGTACGCCAGCACTTCTGATCTCATCTGTACATTGGCCAACTTGGCGGCAGCATCCGTGGACGCCTTGAGGTAATCGAAATAAGTTTCCTCGAAGTCCCTCAATGTATTCAGGAGAGACTGGGTGGTGTTCTGGTAGAAGGTGAAGGAGCCCCGGGGCACTTCGTCTCTACCCTTCCCAATAAAGTCCTTGCCGGAGAGGATCTGCTGCTTCATCACCTCCGCCGATCGCCGGATTGCCCGAAGACGTTGGATCGCATATGGCTCGGCGGCTGAGGAGCCACTTTCAATGGTGTAGAGCCGGGAAGCGTTGCTTCGATAGGCGGCCCAGAGAGGGGGGTAAGGAGCAGGCGGCTCATGTGCAAAGACTTCGAGGCGGCGCGTCAAGCGATCCAGAAGAATGACCGCCGAGGCCTTATCCTCTAATGTTCCGGTGAAAGTGAGGAAATTTGCCTTGTCAAGCAGCATCTGACATTGCATAGGATGTGCAAAACACACCTCACCCTGGAGAACAAGTTCACGAGCTTGGAGAAAGACCGCCTGCCGCTCTCCATATTGGCCCGTCTGGCCATCCTTGCCTGTCACCCCTTCCCCAGTTGACCCAAGCCCTCGATCCCCCCCTTCCACATCCGTTCTCTGGACTACGTCTCCCTGTATGGCATAGGAATCTTGCCCCAAGAGATTCCCGAGATGGGACGTTTGGTAGCGGACCTCACTCAGGTCCGACTCCAAGAAACCCTCAACAGTTTTCATCAAGTCGGGCAGAGTGACGAGGAATCCCGAGACAATCACCGCAGGGTTATCCAGCAGGGCCACAAACCTGACTGCATCGTCCTTGAAATCGCCGGGCCACTTCTTGTTTGGGTCCCTCGTGTTGAAATAGATATCCAAGGCGGTTTCGGCCGCCGGCGAGAACAACGTGTTGAAGAGGACGGTGACTTGTCCGCCCTTGCCCCCGTTACCCGCATTTCGTCCGGGGACGCCCACTTGATTCGGTGGCGAGAACCCATCGCCTCCCCGAGCTAAACATTCCCATCCATCCCCATCAGTTCCATGGCCGTTTTCCAGGGGTTGCAAGTGTACTGACCCTGAAATGTAATATGCTTAGCAACCTCTGGCAAGAGCTCGTCGCAAAAGACCGATAGGCTGCCTCCGTCATAACCATCCATCCTGCTGTCGCTCCCATTAACACCGGAGATGGCCACTCCCAAAGGCAGTGCGCCCACAAGATTCAGTTGCGATACGTAAAGACCCACTTGCGGAGAATAGGTTTCAGGCCCGATGCCTCCTTCCAGCAGCCTAGACAGGTCAAATCGCTCTGCGTACATGTCGAAAGGGACCTTCAGGCCGGCAGTAGGCTTGTATTCTTCCGTCGACACGGACAAACGTAGTTTGGGCTCATCTAGAGGGAACCAGACGGTTTCTGGGTCGTACACTTGGGCGAAGGACATGGTCGACTCGATTTGTTCTCTGGTGTGTGAATGATACTTATGGATGTTCAGCGAGGCAACTGAAGTGACGACTTATATACTACCATATGGGGAAAGTTCTTCAAGCGATGCGGTATACTGCGTACGTCAAGATTATAAAGGCCTCCCAAAGAACCCGGATACACTACTCATACCTCACTGCGTAACTACCTGACCATACCTGAGATATGGAGTGACTAGGTACACAGTCGATAGCTACCACGAATCCACCCCCTCTTCCCGAGCATCTCCGGTCACGGATGTCCAGTCACCCTCTCCAAAATAGCTTGCGGGGTAACTGAGGTGGTGAAGTGGGAAAAGCAAATCTATGTAGCGTGCATTGGCGCCCTGCAGAGTTTCCATAACTGCATAATGGCTGGCGGAAGAGGAGCTGAGTGCCGGGTTCATGGAGCTTGAAAACTCCGCATGTTATGAAAAGATCAGTTGGAAAGGAAAAGGGATACGGTGTGTCCATTGCATGGTAGCAATGCGGGTCTCCAATCTCCTCTAGCGCGAGAAATTGCTATAGGATGGGGGGTCTGGCCACCACACCACAACACACCGGTGATAGCACCGCATGCCTCCATGCGTATGCCAGGCGTAAGAGGAAGATCTATCACACGAAATGAGCAGTATATGCAGTAACCATCACACATTCAACCGGGGAAAGAGTTCCCCAGATGCAGTGCTACGTGACTGGAAAAGCAATATGGCCGCTGTCATACGAGAGCTTCATGGTACTTTCACTGAAGCCAACATTGGAGCTTGGTTTTGCTTCTTCATCATAGCTAGGCATCAGTCATCGGGCCTCGTTTCCGCACCTCTCTCCTGCAATCCCACCCCACCGACTTCTTGACTTCGTGAAGACTTTAGGTTTGGCATCTCCTTTGGATGATCGTTGTATATGCGCTCCGGGCTAGTGCTGACGAACTCTCAGGTAGAAAAAGGTAGATTTGATGATAATTAGTGATTAGGTGACCTGTTTAGGGAATCATCACCGTACGTTACACCAGTTTAACCTTACAGGAGCCTTTATATGACGTAAGAGTAAGCTGTTGGAGGTCGTGTTGGGGGTTATTATGTCGATTGTTGTGAGCGATGCATACTAGCTACTACATGTGATACTTCCTCCAGTCTATTCACCGTCTGTCCCTAGGATGCTAGCGGGTCAACGCAATGTCATCGGTCAAATCCGTAGTTGCAGAAGTCAATGGTAGCCATGCAGGGATGGTCCACGGAGCACTCCATGTGTCCACTAGTAAGAAAAATATATAGTAACATGGCATTCCAGTGACATTCAATCCCTTCAACAAGCACCGAGTAGAGCGGCTCGGTTGTTTGAGAAAATATTCTTCGTTGATCATTGGTCTTTGTGTTTGGCTTTACCACCGTTTCGAACAGAGCCTTGGATAGCACACGTCTCGGTCCTACTTCTCCTCCATCATGCCTGATCCTGCAGATAAGTTCCAGCTACATAATGCCATGAAGAATGATGGCACAACTGATGACTGGGATGTGCTTGTCTCCTACAGGGCGAGGGATCTCAACCAACATTTGACGACCGCTTGGAACGACAGGGTCGAATCCAAAAGTATCAAATTTACCGTGGAAGAGTATCGGGGACCTGATGTTTATTACACTGACTATGTCTTTGACTTGGGAAATCCACAGCTGCAGTTTGTGGACGACGACGGAGCAAAGGCGGAACTCACGTTTGATGCATCAGGTACCATTACCTTCCGGGAGCACCCCGATACGCCCTACAATGTCCCTGCTGGGCATTATCAAATTAGATGCCGTGTCCCTCTGGCTGGACTGACTGGCAATGGTGACGATACAAGGGTAACGGATATCACTATACTCTAAATCATCTGTGCTTAGTGCTAACTGTGAAGTGAAGCCGGAGGGCGAGGAAAATTACTTCTTCAACGACAACGAGACTGCTTCATATTATGTAACGTTCAAGTTCCACAGTGGAAGTTCTACATGGGAATTGAAGAAGGTAAAGCCTCTCGACGGTGCAATCGACACAGCCATGACAGCTACTGTCAGCAAGATTGGCGATTACTTCAAGAACATCACTTCAGAGTTTATGCTCGCCATTTGCCTGGCGGAGGTATCGAACGACCAACATCCGGATGCATCGGGCCTGCTAACCCCTGAATCTTTCTGCATAACTTGTCATGGGGGTGTGGAAAAGGGTGTTCTTTGTGTGTTCATACAGACCAAGAACGGTCGCGCAGGCAAAGGGCAGCCCAAATTCAGAGTTCGACCAGGCTACGATTACCTGCCGGTCCCCGAAGAATACGGGGCAAGTATCATTATCTCCCGTACACTCCTCATTGAGAGGTTTCTCCTGCCCGAGATCAAGAAAAGAAAGAGTGATGCCCATCTACGGGACGAAGACGGTATCGTCGAAAAGAAAGGGACTGGCCCGGTCGATGAGAAAACAGGCGCTTTGTTCGAATTTCGCTTTGCGGATGATCTTGTCACGAACGTCGAGTGGCATAATTATGGGAACCTTCAACTCATATTTGAGGGGCTCAAGATCAACTTCGATGACCAGCCGCTGATACTCGAAATTCAAGATGATGATTCCCTCCAGACAAAATATACGTGGAAATGGAGCTGCAAGGGCACCCTGGAATATTACGAAGTCGTCAATGGTTATGTCCATCACTTCCACGCAGACTACGATGTTAAGATCGGCCAGGTAAGCATCGTTCCCCAATAGTTCCTCGTGGTTTCTATGCCATCCCCATCCTCATCTTCAATACAATTATTGATGTGATCTAGAACTCGGCCCAACTCGCAAGTCTTGAGAATGACAAGATCAAATGGGACATCCGCTTCACGTCCAACAACCAGCCTGATGGCACCAAGGGTGACCAGAATATTCAAGCCAACCTGACCCTATATGAATTCGATTTCAAGTTGCCCGACCTAGATTACTTCAGAACGACCAACATTTTCACGCCGGGAAAGCACGTCATTGATGCTGAGGAGATGAACTTCCCCTGGGACCTGATGATCCTAGGCAATATTGCGGTATGAGGGCGCGTGGGGTGATGTCACTGTCTGGTGCACACAGATGTGGGAGAAAGTGCGGCCGGATGAGAAGATTGAGGTCTACATGATCCGCATAGTTTGATTCTTTCGGTGCTTCAAATTCATTCCTTTTATTGCAACCCGTTCATGATCGGGTGTCTTGGGGCTCCCTAGAGCCGCTACAAGCACTATGCCAATAAGCCAAATATGTCAGTCGATGTTCCACTGGGGCTATGAATCTCTGTGGCTGACAATCCGTGGCTCATGAATTTACCTATGCTGGCAGACTTTTATAATCCAGACAAGAATCCGTAATTTCAATGAATTTCGTACGAAAGCTGGGGCTAGGTGCCTGGACACTGTGAGTGCCAACAGCATATGTTGGGTGTGTGCTCTCTGTTACGCTTGCAGACTTGCATATAGAGACCCTCGCAAACGACCTCACGAACAGGACTCACATCAATCGTTATCAAAGGATGGGTTTTACACACACCAAAAGTAATGGGTTGGGACATGGAGGAATACCAATACTTAAAGATATTTGAAATCATTGACTTCTGCAACTCAAAATCCGTAGAGAAATCTGTCTTGAATAAATCCCTGCTCACGATTTTGAACACTTGCTATCCCCAAATTTTGATTGGATACCTTTATCTAAACACCTCAAAATCCAGAGATAAAACTATTTATATGTAGATAATAGCTTCAGACCTTTTTGTCTGCCTGTCGAGGGGGCGCTATTATAAACTGTAGCCAAGCACCACCACACTATGCTAAAATTTGAATGTAACATGTCCAAACGATCAAATCAGCAACTGCCCTTTGTCTTGAGATCCAATTATCTTGACTATGAGATTTCCCCCAAATATGCCCCCGTACGCACTGTTGTGTACGATGTTTACACGGCACAGTGCCAGTAAGTACTACTGTAAAAGAAGATCCATGTGACGATCCCGCGCCGCTAAGCCATCTTCGATTCGCTGCCCGAGGCTCGAGCTCCTCCATCTCCTCGCAGATATGTGAACGAGGGCAAGCGGACTCCGAGAAATCCCCGACCAATCATGAATCTAACTGAGGGGGAAGCATTGTAAGTACTAGAGATAAAAACTAAATAGAGTTTACGAACTAGACTACTACATTTTTTTTTCTTACTCGCTGTTGAACTGTTTATTTATTAATACCTTCTATACTTTGTTCCTATGCAGGAAGAAAAAAAAAGTTACCCAACTACGTCAGAATGTGAGAAATGACGACGACAGATGTTTTGTTTTTGTGTTGCCCAGTCAGTCATGACTCAGTTGGTAATTGCCGTGATCTGGTTTCTGGTTCCATGGCTGGAATTGGGGGGAAGGGGATACTTGGGCTCCACTGCGATTTATAATGGAATTGGAATTTGTCTGGCTGGTTTTAGTCGAGGCCCAGGGGGACGGGGGTTTATTGGATAAGGGGGAGGGACTGAGAAATACGAGTCTATTTGATGGAGTAGATGGATATACGGAGTACTATGGATAGATAGTGGATGGGGAGAGAGAGAGAGAGGTCAATAGGGGAGGGAGGAAGCGAGAGGATGAAATAGGAAAAAGGAGAAAGTTGCTCTCAGTGGTTTTATGACTCATTGTATTCATTATTAGTTTAGTTATGCTGTTGTTCAGATCAGTTCGTTACCCTTTCCACCGAATGGCGGTTTAGGAAATTATCGATATGATTTCTTATTCGTAGGTGCAATGAAACTTGAACTTGCAGGGCACTACAACATACTTATCTTCTACTGGACGAGAAGAACATACACCTGACCTGAAGGAACTGCGGGTTTCGCTTTTGCCAACACAGCAACCGGCAACCCTCCGACCCGGAAAAGTATGATGATGTTGATGATGATGATGATGTCTTCTTGTTATGCAGCGACTAAAGCATAACACCGGGAATTGCGGAGGCGAACATGTAAGTGCAAAACAGATGGGGGCTGGACTGGACTGGTAGTACTTATTGACCTACAGAACCGCCCGGAATCGGATTCCATATTATATATACAACGAGTTGTTTTCGAACCCTAAATGCCAAGATACGCTATCCTATATGGGAAAAGTTGTATTGTATCGTATGTTTTGCAGACCAGGTTCAGACAAATCTAAACAATGCTCTTTTTGAACCCCGGTCACATGACACGCTACTCCTACTATGTTGTTACAGCGCTAATAATAAAAGAAAGCCTCTATCTTTTCGTCCTAACTGAAGTGTCTGAACTTAAGCGTTAACAAAATCTCAACCCCGAGTAGGCTACACTGAGCCGAGAGCGAGGGAGGTGTTGTGAAACCAAGGAGGCCAAACAATCTGCCACCATTTTGCAGAAATACTGTAGAGTCATGTGATCAGCGGTCCGCTTAGATTATTCGATGTGCTCCAACAAACCATCAACAATCCCAACATGACCGACCTAACCCCCCGTTGTCCCTACCGCATCCAACCATCAATCGAAGCCTTCGAAGTTCCCGTTCACAAATACCTACACCAGCAGCCTCAAATATGCGGCATTCTCAGCGCAGCCATATTGATCTACGAGAACCGAGTCTTACTTGTACAACGCGCCGCCGATGACGACTTTCCTAACCTGTGGGAGGTCCCCGGTGGCACCGCCGACGAAGATGAAACGATAGTTCAATGCGCCGTTCGTGAATTGTACGAAGAGGTCGGCCTAGTTGCGTCTACAGTGGTGGCTATGGTCAGTGAGATTGGATGGACTGCAAGTGACTCGGGGGGCAGCGATGGCCGGGAATGGGGTGTCTGGAAAGTGTTTTGTTTCTTGGTCATGATTGATGGTGCCAACGAGGAATCGAACCTGAGAATAAATCTGAATCCACGTGAGCATCAGGCGTACCTCTGGGTAACCGAGACCGATGTGCGTCGGGGCTTTCATGGTAATACCAGCCTGAATTGGATATCCTCGAATCAACCCCGGGCCATACTGGCGGCTTTTGAATCTGCCAGGTCCAGTGGATGATTAAGTGTTCGTTCTAAACACAAATCATGACTATTGAGGTTGCGATATTTCTGAATGATAGATTTTTATTCGTGATAATGACAATTGTTAAACTGTTTCGAAAACCAGAGATTGGAAGAGCCTTTTGAAAGGACACAAAGTACAGGAATCGTTGGGGGGCATAATCACAAAAGCTCGGTATTATTACTGGTATGTACACAACCGATACTTTACGTTCTATTCATATAAGGTTTAGCGTCTCATGTGACTAGGGTTTGGAAAAGCGATTCTATGTTTCCGATTTGGAAGGCAATAGCGGTCGCCACTGTACATATGCTGTGCAGCGGGATTCGATGCGATCGGATCTATCTATCTCTCCATCTATTCCCCAGGTAACTATCAGGTTTAGATCAGATTCGAGGTACTTTGGTATAGTTCCTCCTTCAATAATTGGTGAATTGGTAAAAGGTGGCTTAACCAGAAACGAGCGAAGTAAATACTGCTAGTATTGGGTATTTTGTTGATGTTCTTGATATGATGGACTTTTTTCTTCTCTGTCTTCTGATTCGGGACGCTTTCCCGCCGGTGCCGAGTTGCCCTGCGAAAAAGTAAAGGTCTTTTTTTTTTTCTTTTCGGCGAGCTGCGGGTGGAGGTGCCGGTGGTGCCACTAATTCAGCCTAGTTTAGTTTTCTAGTACTAAGAGAGTTCTCCACTGTGCCGGGCCAGTCAGTCAGTCACTCGCTCCATCAGGGATTTCTTCTTTCTTTTGTTTTTCTTTTGGTTCCAACGTTCCGCTGAACATCATAGGGAAAATCAGTCGCAGAAAAGAAGAACAGGAGAAGATAACTAACTGCAGCAGAGAAAATCCTGTTCCCAACTACATCCTGCATCAAACAAAACCTGCATTGTAAGCAGCAGCAGTAGATGTTCCAGGAAGAATATGTAGTACCCTCACCAGTCCTCCGAACCGTAAGAGCTTGTGAAAGGCGCATGTCCAGGCTTATCTTGCATCGCAAGGTCTCTCATCGTCTCTCTTCTCACCTCGCATGATTGGTGCCCTCAAAGCCACACCACTTCACCGCATTTTTCCTTTCCTTTCCCAGGCGCTCGTTAGCTTGAAAAGGATCGGCGAATGTGATGCCAATAATTCCTCTCTTTCTTTTCCTCTCCGGACTGCGGCGCTTGCAATGCGAACGGCCTCTCATTGGAGCCGGACCAACGCCTGCGCCTCGGCTTTTCCAAGCAATCATTCCGGTCTGATATGGCTTGATCATTCATGCTTTTGCAACTCGCTCCTCGTAGGTTTTAGTATTAACCTTGGGTCTAATTCTGCCGTTTCCCCCCTCCCTCATTGATTGTGCCATTATCAGTGGTCATCCACACCCACCTCTTCCTTTGCCCCCCCATCGAGAAGCGGGTGAGGAAAAATCGAAACTGTAGGTAGAAAAGTAGTGTCCCCGGGCAATGGCATCATGGCGCGACCCTCCCAAACCAAAAAATCAAAATCCAAACAAATCCTTACTAGGCAGAAGGGGGAAAAACTGGAAATCACTGTGACAACTGCAGCTGCCCCGCCAACTGACCGGGCTAATTAACGGCCATCCTTACACTAGAAGGAGTGGACTAGATAGATAGTCAGTCATCCTGGGTCCCCATCGGTCTTCCGTGGGGACCGTAGAGTATTATTATTATTTACTGGGAAGAAATACTAGATACTTACTAACTACTAGTACTACTAAGCAAGTAACTGACGGGTGCTGGTACTGGGTTGCTGGTGCTATTCTTGTCTTGTCCTGTCCTGTCCTGTCTTGTCCGTACGGCGCTGCTCCGTCCTACCAGTAATTTTTTTTTCTCCTCCTCCTCCTCCCCCTCCTCCCAATCTCTCCCTCTCCAACCCTTGGATTAGAATTTCCCCTCTCTCTTCCCAATCTTCTCTTTACTTCTACTTTACCTCTCTCATCATCCATCGCTGTTTGTTTGTACCCCCAAACAAAAGAGTCATTCTTATCAAACCCATCTTCCCATCTCTCCCCACCCCCCTCCAATCTCGTCCTCATCTCTCCGCTGCCCCTCCAAGACATCCTCCCCCTCCCCTTACCTCCTCACTCCTCCTCATACACCTTTCAATTCCAACCTCGGGAGGGCGCTGTCTTGTCCTACCACGCCGTTTGCCGTCTGATCGCCTGTATATTATTGCTTTTCCAGTCCATTGATATCCTTGCGGTGGCCCGTCGTCTGTTCTTGTCTTGATACCTCCAAGACTCTCAGAAAATCACAACAACAACAAAAAAGCCTAGTCGAGTCCAGCGTCTTACAGTTTTATCTTCCTCCTTTTCTTCTGTTTGCGTCTGTTGCATCTTAACGACTGTTACGACCTTTTATGACCACAATGGCCCACCCCGCTGGTGAGACCGTCACAATCTCTGTCCGTCGTCCGATTGACGATCCCGTCTTCGTGGCCGGCACTTTCTCCGAGCCGCAATGGGAGCCCCTCGAACTGAGCTCCAAGATGGTGGATACCGAACCGGATGAGGAGGGATTGGTTTCGACAGAATATCTTTTCTACCGCGAGTTGGAGCTGTCGCCTGGTCAATATCAATATAGATTCCGCGAGGGCGCTTCCGGCCCGTGGTTCCACGACGAAGCTGTCAAACACGGTACGCTTGAACCTTCTTTCCCCCGACATTGCATCATCGCGCAACCCATTTGAAGCTGACAAACTTACTTGCAACTACAGCCGCAGGGGAAGGAGGTCTGGTGAACAACTTTCTCACCGTCGGACCGAGCGGAGATGCCGCCGCAGAGACCGAGGAAGCCGCGCCGAAAGAGAACGGCGTCAATGGGGCCGCTGAGCATGCTGCCCCCGTACAGGAACCCGTCGTCGAGGAGAAGCAGTCCGAGTCGGTCCCCGAGCCGGAAGAAAAGAAGGATGCTGAAGTGACGGAGCCTACCACCAACGGTGTCGCGGCCCCTGAGGTCAACGGAACGGAATCCGCCGAGCAAATCTCCGACTCCAAGCACGAAGACGTTACGACGGAGAAGGCCGACGAGGCGACGGAAACACCTGTTGAGAGCCAGCCCGCACCGAAGGAAGCGGAAGAGGTTCCAGCTGCCCCCGCCGTCACCGAGGAGGTGAAGCCTGAATCTGACGTCCAGGTCAAAGCTGAGGAGCAACCCGAGACTTCGACAGAGAGTGCCACCGTCGCCGACACCGAAAAGGCCGCCGAAGAGCCTAAACACACTGAGGTTACGGAGGAGGTTACGTCGAAGCCGGCAGAGTCTGCTCCAGAGCCCGCAGCGGAGGAATCGACTCAGGCTGAGGTTTCGGGAGAGCAGCCCGTCGTGGAGGAAGTAACCCCCGAGGTTGCTGCCAAGGATGTTGCTGCTGAACCTGCTGTTGATGAACCGGCCCGTGAGGAACTTGCCGCCGAGAAGCCGACGGAGTCTACTGTTGAAGAAGCTACTACGCAGGAGGCCCCCAAGGAAGAGTCCGCACCGAAGGAACCGGAGAATCCCGCCGCCGAGACGACTACCGAATCTACCGCAGAAGAGCCTACAAAGGAAGTGGAAGAGGTGAACACTACCGCTACCGAGACTGCCACTGAGGCTGCTCCCGAAGAGCCTGCGAAGGAGTCGGTTACGGAAGAAACAGCGGAAGCGCCCACCACCGAGGTTCCGGCTACCGAGCCCGCTACGGAGGAACCTGCGCAGGAGGTCTCCAAGGAGGAAGTCAAGGCCGAAGAACCCGTCGAGGTGACCCCTGCTGTGGAGCCCACCGTCGAAGAGCCCTCGAAGGAAGTGACCAAGGAGGAATCTACTCCGGAGCCCTCGACTGCTGAGCCTGCCACGGAAACCACGGACAAGGCCACCACTGAAGAGGCCCCTGTGGAATCTGCACCTGTCGAGGAGCAGGCCAAGGAATCCGTTACCGACAAGGACGCTGTGGAGCAGCCCGCTGAGGAATCCGCCGCTCCTCAACCTTCCGAAGCCCCGGTCGAAGAATCTGTCCCCGAGAACACCGTTTTTGAACAGACAGCGGAGGTGGCTACCGAACCTGTCACCGAGACCCCAGTTGCTGATGAGCCCACTGAACCATCTGCGGAAGAAACGCACGCTGAGCCTGCTACGGAGAAGGTTGACGAGCCCAAGACAGAAGAGCCTGCTGAACAGAAGGCAACTGAAGGTGCAGCTGAAGCTTCGATTGAGACAGAGGAAAAGACTGCAGAGCCTGCAGAGGAACACCCTACGGAGGCAACCGTCGAAACCGCCGAGCCACCGGTCACAGAGAAGCCGATAGAGGAGCCCGCTGAACAGGTCACGGAAACCGCTGAAGAGGTTGCCAAGGAGGAGCCTGTCCAACAGGAGTCTTTTAACGAGCCTGTTACCGAACAGGCTGCTGTTGATGCTTCGGCTGAAGAGACTACGGAAACTCCTGCTAAGGAAACCCCTGTCGAGGAGGTAGCGACTGAAACTGTTGCGGAAGAGGCACCTGTCGAGACTTCGACCACGGAGGTGGCTGAAGAAGCTGTTAAGGTTGACTCGGCTGTTGAAGAACCGGTGGCTGAGAAGCCTGCCGCAGAAGAACCTGCTGTCGAGGCTTCCGTTCCAGAGACGGCTGAGGATTCTCCCAAGGAGACTGCTGCGGAGGAAGTAGTGGCTGAGGCAGTTGCGGAAGAGCCTGCTGCTGAGACCGTCGCTTCGGAGACTGTTGAAGAGACCGCCCAGCCTGCTGTTGAGGAACCGGCCACGGAGACTTCAGCCAAGGATGTTGTTGAAGCGCCTGCTCAGGAGCCTGCTGCTGAAGCCACCGCTACAGAGGCCGAGGTATCTGCCCAGCCAGCTGATGAGGAGCCGGCTGCTGAGAAGCCTGTTGTCGAGGAGCCCGCCCCTGAAGCCACCACGCAGACCGAGGAATCCGCACCGGAGCCTGTCGTCGAACAGACTGCTCAGGAGACCCAGGCCGAGGAAGTTGTCGAGCAACCGGCTGTTGAAGAGCCGGTCGTCGAGGAACCTGTGGCCGAGAAGACAGTTCAGGAAGAAGAACCCGTCAAGGAAGACGAGCCTGAAGTGACGGTTGCACATGAAGAGACTGTGAAG